TAACTGCGTGTAATTATCATGTTTGGAGATAACTTCAACAGCCTCCCTGTCTCCGAACATCTTGATCACATGTGACTAGTGTATTTGTTATAGGAGGCCAAACTTTGAATAGAAATTTCCCTGCAGTCTTGGAAACGCCCCCCCCCCCCCTCCCCCCGCAGGGAAGCCGCATGGTTGCTGCTCCAACTTGCCCGCAAGGGAAGAAGGACAACGAGCGCCACGCCCACAGGGGAGGAACTCCGAGACTGTGCCCAATGAGAACTATGACTGTTGCTGCTAGGCAGAAGCAAAGAAGAGAGAACGTTTCGGCAGCGAAGTTGCGAGTTAGGAAGAAGGCTCGAGCCGCCGTTCGTGCAGCGAACGTCCCTCCTGACTCAGGTGCACCAACGACAGCCTCGGAGGCTGCAGAGGACATGGTAGCTACTGACAGAGGTGCTTCAGAAGCCAGTGAGACCTCGGAGGTGCTCGCTACGACTCGGGTAGTCCAATCGGTGCCCGCCCTGACCGCAACCACTGTAACGGAGTATGCAGAGCATACAGAAGTGGAGTTTGAGACTTGTACATCGAAAAGGGCTTCAACAAAGGCCGTGAAGATGCCACCGAAGGCTGTAGGATCTGCACGTTCAACAAAACTGAGTCGCAGACTCGATGTGCGAGCTGTACATTGGACCGTGCCAGGGTCGTAATTGACAAAGTCACCAGTGATACTGTCAACGACGTTGCAATCGGCGAATCGTCTGCTACAACCGACGGTGTGGTTACTGCGACCGACACTGCGTCCAGTGTGACTGACTGTGCGACTACTGCGACCGATCAGTTATACTATCCGATATCAGGAGAGTACTATACTGGTCGGGACATCACTGTTGACAGCAAGTTGGTCACCACCGTTGAGGTTTGGCAAGTGGCATACCTCAATAATCGTCGCGACGGGCCAATGGGAGTCGAGTACCAGGTGCTTTGGGGCCATCCTGACAGATCCTGCAATAAGCTTTATATTCGCTCATGGGAACCAAGAAGTAAGCTCATGGAGGACGGCTTCGAAGAAGAGATCGACCTCGTCGACCACTGGAAGGCCTTGGAAGTGCCCTTGTTCGAGACGTTCAGAAGAGAAGATGGCATGGATTGATTGGAGCAGCCGATGACCGCCTATGCGTGTTTAACGCTTTGAAGCGAGCCTCAGAACTGGCAGGAAGACCGGATATCATCACGCAACAGGATACCGACCAGTTTGTCGACAATGAGCTCGTTTGCTACGGACGTGACCTCAGGCAGGGTGCAAGATGGAAGATTGTACCTCGCTTTCTGGGTCGACTTCGGGATGCTGGTCGCGACTTCGCCTACAACCAGATTGCCACCATAAACCATGCGATTCCAGGCCGGCGTGGTGCACAGGTTTTGGAAGAAATCCCGATTGACGACGGTATCAACATTGTCGGAGCCTACAATCACCACCACATCGGTCATGCAGCAGTGCTGACTATTCAAGGAACCAAGCACCTCATCTACGACTTGAAGGAAGGTAAGCCGATCTCGTCCGCGAAGCGGTGGATGCATTTCTGCGTCCGTTCAAGGTCTTTAAGTAGACGATAGGAATCGGTAGGATTTCCGCGGGTTTGCCTAACCGATAATGAACTTTCCCAGCAAATAATCGCTTTGTGCATGGTAATTTGTATTTGAACTCATGTGTCTAGATAATTCGGTACTTGACCAGGGTAACCTCAACGAGGGAAAAGCTTGTGCGAACAAAAAAAAGAAGATAAAACCCAGTGAGGATTTTTTTTTAAAAGAACGCGATTGGTAGATACGCTTCATGCAGTTATATTACCGTAGTAACTCTACATTTAGTGGCCGTTTCCAGCTTTCAGGGGTTTTAACCTGAGCTTGGCCCTTAGTTCTCTGAACTGATGCTTATCTAAAGCTTTCGTGAAGATGTCAGCTATCATCTCTTTTGTATTGCAATAAGTGCCGGTGAATTCGTGTCGCTCTACTTTTTCTTGCACAAAGCAGTATCTTACGTGAGTGTGCTTAGATCGTCCGTGTAGTTCGTGTTTGTAGGAAATTTTAATACAGCTCTGATTGTCCTCGTAAATAGTATTGGCCTGAGTGGAGAAGTTTGAGGAATATCATCTCTTGCATGCAGTGACAATGGCGATATATTCTGCCTTTGTTGTAGAGAGAATCACAGTGTGGTGTTTTCGTGAAAGCCATGAGATTGCACTGCTTGCTACCATAGTAACGTAACCTCCGACAGAACGTCTTGTGTCGGGGCAGTTGGCGTAGTCCGAGTCACTGTAAGCTCAGCTAGATTCTCACGTGTGATGTCGGACGAGCCTCCCAGAAGAAGACCATAGTCTTTGGTTCCTGACAGATACTTGTGTCCGGGAATGACTGCTTTCCAGTGCTCCATTCCCGGATTAGCTAGGAATTGTCTGACTTCACGCATGTAGAATGCCATGTCGGGTCTAGTGCCTACCATTAAGTACATGACACTACCTACGGCTTGGCGATACTGAATGTCTTTCATCGCATCTTTCTCTGGTTCACTGCTAGGTTGGCTGTTCTCGGAGCGTTTAACGTTCCGGTCTGCCGGTGTTGCAATTGAAAAAGGGATCTAGCCGCTAAAGCGGTCAAGGACCTTCGTAGCGTACTTGTGT